TTTCCGATCGGGCGATGAATTTCACAGATGATGATGCGGATGCTCGGGCGCCAGCTCTTGCAAAGAGTCGGTGCTTCCACTCAGAAACGTATTTTGGTAGAATCACCAGCGTACGCAAGTGTAGAGAGAGAGGGCGGACAACACTCCCTCCCTGTAGCGGAGAAGATCGCCATGCGTGCGTTTGTCGAATCCGGATTGCGTGACTCTTGGTATGCAAAGTTGGACGAGTTGTGCTTGACTCGTGGGTATGATATACTGAAGTATGACACGCCCGGAGTAAGGCGGAGGATTGCCCCATCAGCGCCCACGAGTGTGCCGCTGCAATGAAAATATCTAACCGCACCGCGCCCACCCCCGCCCCACCCACCGCCTCCGTTGGACCGTTCTCCACTCCCGGCCGTTTACCCTGAACTCTCCCATCTCGCCAACAACGCCCCCTATCTAGCTGCAACACCTTCCTGTTCATCCTTCAGAACGACTGGGGAGCAGACGCGTGGCCGGTTTCCACTACAAGTCTAGGCCAGCTGCAGGCGGAGCTAGAGAGCGAGGCGAGGATGCTGGCTGCCAGGAATTGCTAGCCTGCTGATGGTTGCCTCAATTATAGTAGACCCGGCCTTCGGAAGGAGGGGTTAGAATAGACATATGCTTTCCGACCGACCGGCGGGAAAAAAACCCCTCCTGAGAACCATGCGGCTGTCATTTGGAGTAGACCCGGAAACATAACACGGTACAGCTAACGATGCGGCGGTGGGCAAGGGCCGTGGTTACAGCACGTGAAGGGTTTTAGCGTTCGTTTGCGGAAGCTGGAAGCCTGTGTTCGGTCACTCCTGTCCACTGGCGGATCAGACCGAAGCAGAATATCCGTGAGACGTGCGGTGTTTCCCGTGATGTTCTTTGACTCGCTCGTGCACCTTTCGGACTTTTTTTTTATGGTTCCTCCTGTTTCGAGTATAATACCATGGGTAAGTGCTTCAAGTCGTGTGACGCATTGCCGCGATCGGGTTTGCTGTACATGCTGTGACGTATTTGAAGCGAGGAGACGTGGCTTCGATCCACCTTGCCCCGCTTGAGCAACGTTCGCTGTCCATTCGGCGAGCAAAACGTGTGGGGTGCGCTCCATGGTTGTCGCCTTCACAGAAATTTGACCGCATAACTACTGCTGTGGTTGAAGGTGATCATCAGTTGGTAACTTCGCAAACCTTGTGAAGCATGGGACATCGGTTCAGATCTCGGAGCACTCATCCCACCCACACCACACCTACATAGTGGTGTCAGTGTCGCTATATTTTGGTGTGGTTAGTGTCCGTTTAGCCGCCGAAGGAAAGGAAAACCTCCGGCCAATCACTGCCGCGACGTCAGAGCACCGTGTATGTTCCTGCAAGTGACCCACTTTTCGGGAGTTATGTCTTGAGACGACCCTTCCTTTTGTGAGCCCGTTGGCAAAAAGGAAAAGGGCTTCGGTTGAGGCCGGGGCTACCCCGGGCTGATATTCATCGTCCAATCAGCACTTGAGGGTCAGAACTAGCTTGTCCCATACACGCTTGGCTTGAAGTCTGCCATCAACACCCATGGGGACAAATGGTCGCAGTATGACTTTCAAATCAAACCACGTCGTTGCTTAGACAGACGGTCTTCTACTAGGACGACTCAGCTGGCTTCAACGCGCAGGAACCTCTCGACCACTACTGGACTGTACTCTTAAAATTACCTACAAACAAAGGCACCTCCAAATTGCCCGCCCGGCAAACCTCATGCATTATCCCACCACAAGACGCAACAGCGTCTGCACCGGTCATACAGTACACCGGCCCGCACACAAGATACACACACAGGCGGACAGCACGAAGGGGAGTGACTTACTAACATAGTACAGAATTTGCCGGATTTTGTCTTTGTCGCACAAAAACAAAGCGGCACCCCTTGACGCTAATATACCCCGCCAAAAGTTTGTAACCGCCCGCCAGAGGAGTCTTCTGACGCAACGAACGACAAAGGGCGGGCCTTGGGTAACTACCCCCCCCGCACAACACACTGCTCGTGCCCGGCAGCTCTCCGGCAGTACGGGTACAGCCCCTACCCGACTGTCAGCAGTGACATCATCATCAATCATCAAGCCAGGTTGTCGCGTCACATGACACCGCTGCTGGTATCCCCTAGACCACCCCCAGACGCCCTCAACCGGGCGACCAGGCCAGGCGGGGGCGTATCGTGCGTGCCCGAGAACCGAGCGACGCAGTTGGCCATGCAGCCCTGGTCGAATGGGTTGTGGTACTGACCGCTGTAGTTGGGCGCTAAGAGGTAGTCTACCCGCCCCATCATGTGATGCTCGCTGGTGGTGAGGTTCTGCCTGATGAGTTGGCTGAGGCGAGGCGAGGCGAAACGACAAAGAGCAAAACCGTTGAGAGCGATGTGGAGCAGGTCAGGGATGGGTGGGCGGGGCACATAGGGGAGCGTACCCAGGGTATGAGTTTTTTCGCAATACTCATACCTGACGTGCGCGCACGCACCCCACTCAAGATGCACGCGTACGTGCCGCAGGAGCTATCTCTATCGTTTCCTACTGCATCTGCATCTGTACAATAACCCAAAAAATCACTGGTACAAGATCAGCGGGGGCGAGACTACAGCTACCCAGTGCGCGAAGACGGCTATCGTTTCCTACTGCATCTGCATCTGTACAATAACCCAAAAAATCACTGGTACAAGATCAGCGGGGGCGAGACTACAGCTACCCAGTGCGCGAAGACGGCTACAGCCCATTGAAATGGTGCCATGCAAGTCGAGACGGACTCACGCGTGATACATGAAGAGCAAAATCCCGAAGCCGGCGAAGAGGAACGAGTACGATCCAGACACCACCACCGCCCAGCTCAAGCCTATGTGCCACATCCAGTCCACGCACATGATTGTGTAGGACACGGTGCTGACGAGCAAGGAAGAGCGTTGCGGAAACAGCGATAGAGGGTCAGAGCCAAGACGTACCTCACACGACCGCCAGGCAGGGGAGAGCGGTAGGGTTAACACACCGATCGCGCAAATCACAGTCTCATAAACTGACCGAAGCACATAAATCCACCAAGAAAACAGCGGCACCTCTCGCGCGAACGACACTCTCCGACAGCGACCGACACACTTTAAATTAACAATAAAACAGCCGCACCGCCCTGCAGCAAGCAGCAGCAGCAGCCGCACCACTCGCAGCAGCAGCAGCAGCAGCAGCAGCAGCAGCAGCACGAATGACAACACCCACCTCGCCACGAGGAAGATGACGTACAAGAAGAACCACCGGTAGTTGCCCGCGCCCACGCAGTTCCCGACGAACGGGCAGTGGTGGTCGAAGGCCCTCACGCACCGGCGGCAGTTCCTGCAGTGCCGCGACCGCAGGGGCCTCTCGATCGCGCACGTGTAGCACGCCGAGCTCGACACCGAGCCGGCCCCGCTCTCGAGCCTCATCAAGCTAGACGTCGGGTCTTCGACGTCAAGGTCGTCGTCGGAGTCGTGGTCGTGGTCCGCCTTCTTTCCCGTCAAAACGCGTACTCGGCGGTGGAACGCAAACGAAACCTTAGGGTCCGTCGGGTCCACGAACCTGATGACGGTTTCACACCAAGAGGAATGCAGCAGCAGGAGTTGTTTGGGCGGGGAGGCTTGTCAGTTGCGGGGGCGTAGGATACAATGATGCGGCTTGCCGACAGCAGCCATCACGTAAATTACCACGAAATTTGCATACCAGCAAGCATCAAAAGAAATAGTTCCCAACTATAAGACATGCAGCAGCGGCATCGACCCCGCTGTGGAGATCTTGCCTCCGGTGAGAGTGTGAGAGTCAATTGCGACCACGACCAGGTGCATCATGACAGAAACAGAGATACAGTAGGAGGTGTGGAGGTGTGGAAATCGCCGTCGTTTATTCTGCCGAATCCACCGCAACTCGATGCTGTCAAGACAACATGCATCCTGTCATGCGATCTCACTTGCTATTAATAGATACACCTTCACCCGGTTGTCTTGGTACAGTATTCGTGCAGACAACACACGGCGCACGTTACCCCCCCCCCTCCCCTCCAGGCCGAGCAAAAAAAAATCCCTCTCCTAGAAGCCGGCACCACCATTAACCAACTACAGCAGTAGCGGCTGCCGTTTAAGAGACATGGGTTAAGAGAAAGCGGATGCAAGATAGAAAAAAGTGTCCTGTCCCGACCCTCTCTTAAACCGTAAAGCCGCTACTGCAGTACGAGGCGCCCCCTCACCCCGGGTTCGACACCCACGTCAGGAAGAAAGACAGCCACAACAACAGCTGCGACACCGTGGACACCAGCAGCAGCATGTCGTGGCCCAGAGACAGAAACTCCTCTCCGAAGAATCGCTGCGTCGTCACCCACATCGCGAAACCCTGGGGCGGTCAACGAGGAATAGAACGTCGAGGGTGAGACCGGGAGGCGGCGAGAGTAGGACCGTTGCACGAGGCCGGTGAGGATCGTGGCAGCCGAGTTCAGCTTGGGGGCGAGTATCGCTGTCTCGTAGCCGCCTCATTCTGTTCTCGTAACCGCAGTTAAAATAGCGGCCCACGCTCAGGCCAATGGTGTTCTTGTTGTTGTTGCTGTTGCTGTTGTCTCCACATTGAAAACCAATGCGCCACCGTTTCTTGTTAATTGCGTCGAAGAAATACATGTACCACAGGTGTAACGTGGAATGTCCACACAAGGAGGCTGCACTGCCGCGGAGCGCTATGTAACCGCAACAAGGAGCCGAGCACGACAACCAACGACAGCACGACTCTTCGTACGTACGGATCACAACACGCTTGAGCGAGGCGCTCGGGAAACAGCCAGGTTCTCTCCCCGTGATCTCAACACCTTTGGTTCCGCCCAGCGATCGCGAGGGGCTGTTGGCATAAAGAACGGGCGGGGTAAACTTCTCCCCCCCCCCCCTCCAACCAAGCTTGAGAGTTAGATTGTTCATCAACTAGGGTGTCGCTACCGACAGGAATTTTCAACGCAATATATCCCACAAGACCTACGAAAAGCCTAGCCTCCCTTTAGAGTATCGGTATCCTCACGGGTAAGGAGTGCGGAGCAACTAAGCTCTCAGAGTGATTCAGCAAAGGGGGGCTCGCGCGCCGCCCATTCTTCACCGTAAATTAACACACACATCTGTAACGGGTGCTGGTAAGCAGCTTCCAAAACAGCGGCAGAGGGCTCTACCTAGTGCCATCTCAAGCACTTCCAAGGCAGCAGGAGTGGTACCAAGCGTGCGGCGTATTTACCAAAATTTAACCTTGCACATTCAATTCGACATTTAACATTCCACATTCAATTCAACGTTTTGACTAGCGTTTTTCATCGCGCCCATGCTCGTACTATGCCCCTGCTATGCTTCCACTATATCGGCAAGTGAAGCATGGCATTTATTTGACTGGACTAACAGGCGTCGTCGTCTCGTGGAGAGCGGTTGGAAGGGGCACTGTTGGGCGGTCACGGGAGATGCAGCCAAAAGCGATCGATCAAGGATTCCCCCCCCTCCCTGCTCGAATGTGCGTTCGTAAACGGAGACCGACAGAAAGTCGCTGGTCTGGTTGCGGGCGGTCGTGACGTGACGAAAATGGAGTTCGACGCATCGCGAGACCCCATGATTCTAATCGGGTTAGAAGGCGGCTTGTCGCCATTCTGCGCGCCCATGACGAAGCTACTTTCCCTGTCCAGGCCAAATCGCCATTTCCCCTTGGTGCGGCCAGGGCAATTGGGTGCAGAGCGGGAGCGGTTCGAGCGGGCTCCCGTCCGGCTGCACCAGCCTTGCCAGTTTCGCTGCTAGCTCATGCACTCGGACATGGGGTCTCGCGATGCGTCGAACTCCATTATCGTCACGTCACGACCGCCGGCAACCAGACCAGCGACTTTCTGTCGGTCCCCGTTTAAGAAGGCATGTTCGAGCAGGGAGGGGGGGAATCCTTGATCGATAGCTTTTGGCTCCATCACCGTGACCGCCCAACATTCACACTCGACCTATGTCTCACCATCAAGACGAGGTTGAGAGGCAAAGGCCAACCGGCCCCCTGCAGCCCCTCCCCCGTCTCGCACGCCGCCCTCCACAACGTGGGAGTGCGCGCAAGCTTGAGGAACACGGCGGGGCTTAGCCAAGACTGCCCGGCTCCACTGGTGCGCAAGAACAGCTCCATGGAAGACTGGGGACGGGGCGGCAGCAGCAGCAGCGGCGGCGCCAGAGAGAGAGAGGGAGAGAGAGGGAGCGAGAGCGAGAGCGAGAGAGAGAGAGAGAGAGAGAGAGAGAGAGAGAAAGGGGGGGGGGGGAGAAATGCAGGTGGGCAAGATGTGAATACCGGTAGAAAACTGCCCTTTTTACCCCTTGATACCCTGCCATCCAGAAGCACTATCTCGACGTTACAGCAGTGGCCTCGCACCTATACTATATACTTGTAGCACAAAGCAACCATACAGATGGAAAACCAGTCTGTGTTTAGGCATCGATGGGATTCGATGCTTGATTGCTTCTATTCGATTGGGTTGAGTCTTTGCGCCACCCAGCGATGTCTCCGTTCCTTGTGTCGCACTGCTGCCACACACCTGCTTCTTCTTGAGAGCGAGGTCCAGCGGCGTCTCGTTCTTCTTATCTCTGGCGTTCACGTTAGCCTTTGCCTGCCCACGGAACAGGACAAGCTTAGAGTTAGCGGCCTTCAATTCTTCTACGAGGATTGTTTTGTCATGTACAATACCTCGTGGTTACTGTTGGTAGATAAAACTCGCGGTGAACCAAAGGAGCCCGAGAGCGGAGAGGTCATGAAAAGAATAACCTTGTACATCCCCGCGATTTATGCCTATTCTTTGATAACGAGCTTGCCTGCCGTGTCCAGGGGTAAAGGCATCAGCGCGCTACCATAGCCACCAACAACGTCATCTCCTCGCCAAAAATAGCGCCGGCACGGTCGCGCCACGGGCAGACTGCCTGCCTTACCTCGAAGACAAGGTATTCCGCCGCATCTCGGTTCCCCCTCAGAGCGGCAAGGTGCAGCGGAGTCTGGCCGTACACGTCCTCTCCCTCGGGGTCCTGACCGGCCTTCACCAGCATCGACAGCACCTGAACATGACCTAACGTTGCATCATCAATAGCATCAAGACGCGGAGAGACAACAAAATGGTGGAAGTACCTCTTGAGAACCTCATATGAGACCTGCTTCCTTCGTGCATCAGCATCAAAACGAGGACAGGCATTAAATGGTTGTACCTCCTTCCTAGGTACGGTCGGCGGTCCTGGTAGGTATGGTGCCGCTATAGAGGGCAGTGCCGTTATTCCTAATGGGGATTGTACTGAGAAATGCACTTGTGCCAAGCGATTTCGGTGCCGCCTGTAGAGGGCATTCCGCTATTGAGGGTACCGTTATTGCGGACCGTCGACTGTATATCAGATGGCCCGCTTCACTCATGATAAACGTGCGGTCTTCTTTTATTCGCGAGAAAAAGGTCTGACAAGGAGGCGCGTTCGCTTGGAGCCCCTTTCCATTGAGGTGTTACATGTACACAGCAGCTACTGTACTGATAATGACAGCATTGTGACGACGACAACACCAACAAATGTGTACAATGCTCCTCTCATTAAAATCAAGCCAAATCCGAGAGCACACGGCACCATATACTTCCAACGCCACTAACTGGGGCTACGCCACGAAACGAGTACGCCAGCTGCGCCCACCTCCCCTACGCCACCTTTCACCCACACTGCATCATAGCATGACTGGACTCCAGCGCGCTGTAACCGCCATTGAAACACATTGATGTGGCTGCCATTGTTGAGACCGCGAGGCGCACAAGAATACTAGGGGTACCTTTGTAGGCTGCCCAGTGCAACGCGGAGTCTCCCACGCTATCGACGGACGCCGGGTCACAGCCGTGATTGCTCAAGTATATCACCAGCTCCACGAAGCCGTACTGCGCCGCGATGACGAGTGCCGTGCAACCCTGCAGGCCAGACACATGAAATCACCACCACCACCACCAAAAAACAAACGACGGGGTTGGGGTACAGTACAGGGGACGCATTGCCACAGCAGCATCGGGAAAACGAGTGGTACATCGTTTGCCGGATACAGCGGTGTGGAGTATTCTACCCGCGCCACCGAAACAGTATCCTGAAACCGTCGAGACACAAAGCTGCATGGAGAGATCTACTTAGATCTACGTGATTCTCATCCCACCAGGAGTAAATTACGTCACACCATCAAATCACACGTGACAGGTCTTCCGTCGGTTGGGCGGAGGAAGGGAAGGGAAGGCCCAAGACTAAATACACATACCACATCAGCGGCTGATTTTCAACATCAACAACATCACCAGAGACAGAAACCCAAAACTCATGCTTGTCATATGTTCTACCATGCCTGGTTATCGCGGCCCAGGCTGTCCATGCCAGCGGCTGAATTCCATCACCAAAGCGACAGCAAACACCAACGCTCAAGCTTGCCGTCTGTTCTACGGTCCATACCGCCTGTTCCACGGTACGTACTTTCTGTTCCACGGCGCACACCGTCTGTTCCACGGTACATACCTGGTTATCGCGGCCTTCTGGGTCCGCGCCTCCGGGCCCGAGAAGCCATGCCGACGCTCTTAGCCTCCCCTCCGTGGCCGCCCAGTGAAGTGGAGACATACCCACGGGGTCCTTGCTAAACTCGTTTGGGGGGCACCCCGCATCTGCAACAGCAGCAGCAGTAGTGCCGTGATCGTCGCAACAACAATGGCACACGCAGCAATATTGCATAGGTTCGTCGCATCTATTCTGGCGCCAGTCTAAAGACACCCTTCGTTCGTTGTACGTTTAGACGCATCAGCTGGGGTCAAGTTGGGCGGGCAAACAGCAAACTATTAATAAGTACCATGTTGGAATTGGAATATCGTTGATTTAGCTATGGTCTAGGGAATGCTGTCATCATAAAAAGCTAAGCTGCGTTAGGCGTTACTATTCGTCGTGTGGGAATACAATAGCTTCTATTTAAGAGCAATCTTTCGGTAGTACGGCGGACTGGATTTCTACTCTCTGTATGATATACACAGTATGGCATTTGCGCAACAACGCACACAACAGCGACAGACAACAGAGGGATTCTCAAAGTGTCTAGTCGACGCACGCCACAACAGCAGTATAATAGTAATAGTTCTATAATAGACAGTTGTTGCGTTGTCCAAGCTTGTTCTCGACACGTCATGCTCCCACTTCCTCCTCAAGCTCGTCACATGATGCGCACCACACAGGCGCGCTGTCACCAACCGCAGCACAGCCCCATACTCACTAGCCAAGAGCTCGAGCATCGCCACGTCCCCGGACTTCGCCGCCCAGTGCATGAGGGTATGCCCCTGGCCGTCCCTCCTCTTTAGAGCGGCGGGCAGGTGCTCGGACGTGCTGGAGCACAGCCGTCTCAGGGTGGCCACATCCCTTGTGCGCACCGCCACGAGCAGCTGGCTGGCAATCGTTGCCTCCTGCGGGTGCAAGCAGTAAGCAGTACCAAGACGAATCGAATCAAATGGCGACCGAAGGAGAGGTTTGTCACGTCCGCAAGCCGTTGGTGCTTGGATGCCAGCAGGCAACTTGCTGCGGTGACGGCGCGACCCAAAATGTATACGAAGAATACATCTACATTTCGGCCAAGAAATGCTTCGACCAACGTCGGGCAAGAGGGCTTGTGTTAATGATATGTAGATATGCATGCATAGCACGATCGTATTCCAACGTAACAGGAGAGACGCGGACGGCAGGAGAGCAACTGGGGAACAGGGCACACCAGGGAGACAGCGCTATCTCCGAACGCGGCGCTTCTTGCGGCACCGCGAGACTGTCAACTGTCAACCTTGCCGCCATAGCCGACGTTCCTTTAATACAAGGAGCCCGTCGAAGGCCTGCTGCTGTGGAATGTTGCGAAAGGTTCCACGGCAGGACTGCGGCGGCGTGTCACCGCTAATTTACACCTGCTGTTTTCGGTTCGTCGCCTGAACTATGCATACTTGTAATCTCCTATTATAATAGGAGTACCAATCTTGGTCGGGTTGTGTCACCCACGCATGCCGCCAAGACATGAAAACATCGGCTGGCACGCAAGCACCACACTGATAATACTACGCTACATACGTGCAAAATACTTCCGCCGCAAAGCCGCCTGTACTCACACTCAGAGCGCCGGTGTCCGTGCTCTCCGCCCCAGGCGCCGTCCTCACAACGTTGGCCATACCGTCCATGTCCATAACGCCGCCGCCGCCGCCCGCCCCTGCCCCGGCCATCATCGGAGCAATCAAGGAGAGCCGCTCCGCTGCGGCCAATACATCGGGCGGCGCTCCTTTCAGGCTCTCCTCGATGTTGCCTACGCCCATGAGCCCTCCGGCACCGGCACCGCCGCCTACGGGCAGCCCGGCAAGCCCGCCAGGCTGCTGCTGCAAAGTCGGCATCAGTTCCATGCCCGGTTGCACGGTGGTGGCGTTGCTGCCTTGGGGTTGGCCGAGAGCGCCCCCGGCGGGAAAGGAGGCCGAGGCGTTGGCGGAGGAGCAGTTGCCATGGCTGCATTGCTGCCCGGAGCGGCACTGCTGGTTGCCAGCTCGTCTGCTGCCGAAAAAGCTACTCATGGCTTGCCAGAGACGCCTGCTGCTGTGTGCATGGGGTGGTTGGGTCGTGCAGGGGCGATACAATCGAGACTTGGTTGTGGCAAACCTGATTGTGTTTTTCTGCAGAGCAGAGGTGATAGTTCAGAGAGGATATGGAAATGAAGCCGTTGGGGATAGATAGTCATCTTCCAAACGACCATTGGGATATGCGGCGAGTGCTGCAGCAGGGGCGAACGGGCAGGAGTTGCTGAGGGTAGGTCTTAACGAAGAAATCAGACCACGAAATCACATTCAGAGTTGGTTATAAGACCGGAAGATCCAAAGAACTCTGTTGTTGATTGGCTGAAATGTTATGGAACCCGTCGAATCTTTAGGACTTAAAACAGGACGACCCAAAACCAAATCGGGATTTGAAAAAACGTAAACTGATTTAATCGGATCCCGATTTGGGTGAACCGCAACCAAAGTTGCGGGACCACGGTCTACTCGCATGCACGGCGCGCGCCCACCTACCCCCATCCCCACGAACTCCATCGACCGCCGAGCACAGAGGAGAGAGAGAGCACAAAAAAGCCAACCCAAAGGGAGAGTGACTGCGCATTGTTGTTGCACGTGACTGGCGCCGAAAAAAAACGTGGTATGGGATGTGTTGGTCTGTGGGACAATCTCCCGTGGGTTATCGAACCTCAAATGCACAGACGAATTGGTGGCTTTCCGTCGGACGAGGCTCGATTCAAAGTCTCACATGCATAGACATCGTGTCAGTACCGCAGAGGCCATGTTGTACGCGTTTCGTTTGTGCTTCTCGTGAGCGATTGCTCCCCATGTGGTGTGGCCGCGTCACAACAGTACGTCACAACAGCAATCTGGCAGTCGGCAAGCAGCGGCCCTCTCGGGTTGTTCGCGGTGGACTGCAGAGATTCGTTTCCATTTGGCAGATCTCCCGTTAAGACACACAGGCCATTTCTGTCCGGATTTGGGTACACATGTAGATCCGACTCTTTTATTCTTAAATCGAAATGTGATTTCGAGATCAGATTTCTTCGTTATGACCTACTGTACCCTGAGACAGCAATCGGGCTGCGTGATTGGCACACGCTCTTTGGTTGTAAATGGATGATAGATGTTGTGGTCGATCAAGAATATCAGCACGCACAAGCGATTGCACACGATTCCATCACCATCGGAGGAGATGAAAGAGAGCGCAAGTCATGGCCAAGCAAGCACAAGCTTGGCGTTGTTGATGTGGTGGCACAATCAAAATCCCCGCCTGTGGCGACCAAAGCGGCAAGAAGCGGGTGGAAAGAGCGGACGGACAGTCACCAAACCGCACCACTCACGCTATCTCAACAACAAAGCGCCTCGCTAATCCCACGCACTCACCTCACCCTGATCGACCTCTCCCACTCTTCCACACTCCACACACAGCAGTTGTGCAGCAGGGCCGCTCAGCAGCAGCACAGCAGTGGTTCAAAAGAGAAAAGAGAGGAAGAGAGGTGAGAACAGGCCCGACGGGGTTTCAATGCATTCTGAGGCATATTCCTTGCGCGCGCAGTTTTTGCCCGACCCTCCTGCGGTACGAGACACCGCGAGAGATCAACTTGCGAGGGCAACGTCGTGTGTGTTGCGCGTTCCCCGCACGGTGTGCACCTATCCCTGCGAGAGCTTGGTCAGTGTTAAGCTCGTTAATCGTGCCCTGCTGCGAGCGATATTGAAGAGCGCAGGAGCCAGTTCGAGACTGCTGTCGTCCCCTCGGTGCTGCACAGGCCGCTCGCCGGCGGAAAGGACAATAGGACCTGCTCGTGCTGGCCTCCTGTGGACAGGGGTGAGGACTTGGAAGAGGGGTAGTAAGGGCGTGCGTTCCAAGTACAGTTTGGTGGTGGTGCTTGTGTTGAGACGAACACCTGAACAATCGGCCGCTGCTAAAAATGGAAATGACTTTCGTCCTGTTTGTAAACACCAGCCGGGCGTCTGATGTTATGTTTGGACTTGAGAGTCTAAATGTATTATACAAGTAACAGCAGCAGTCCTCAGTATCAATGACCACCATGCAGTTTGACCGACACATGTTTTCGTATCCACAGGAAAGGGGTGTTGTCGGGTACAGAGTACCGTGTCTGCAATGTGATCTCAACACACAGCCTCTCACCCCGCAAAGCACACTGGGAGAGCCTCCCCCCCTGGCTTTTCGTTCCAATACAAATAATTGTGTCCACGGTACATGCATGTCAGCAGCAGCAGTATTGGAGTCTACATACACTCGGAGTGTTCGGCACCGCGCGCCCAGAAGCCGACAGCAGCGTACACAGGATCCCTGCTCTATTTTTGGCATGGCATTGCCCGAACGTGCTCCCGGTATGATGCCCGCTCATAATATCAGTTCACAACACGCCATTCTTCCTCAATTGAATGCGCCAACAAGCACGCAGTTTTCGGTCACGTCTTCTCGTCGTCTTGTCGTAGATTCCGCGCGAAGAGTCGGAGAGATGGCACCCTCCCTTGACCGATTTCAAAGATCGATTCGCCCATAACCAAGCTTGCGCCAATACCAACAATGGTGGTTAGGGAACATCTCGCCGAGGGCTTTCCGTAGACGTATCGGGCTCTTTCCGCACCCACTTGGTTGTGGGGCAATCAAGTTTTTTTGTTGTTGCTGAAAATGACCCAACGAATCCATTTCGAAGAAAAGAGTCTAAGATAGATTCGCAATGAATTCATAGCGTCAGAGAAAGCTATTTGAAAGTCGGTCTACATCGGGGGAGTGATAGTGCCATCTCTCCGCCTCGTATGGTATTCCCATCACCGTCCACCTTGGTGCTGTAGTCCCGACATCGTCTCTTTATTGCCGTGTTATTGTACATATCCGTTGTTCGAGCGGCACCAGCAGGCCAAAACCACGACCACGAAGCAGGAAATTCCTCGAAAAAAACGGGCCGCAGCACGCTACTAACGCGCCGCTCACCAACCCGCGCCGTACGTAACGCCGCTTGACTTTTCTGTGCTGCAAGATACACGCTAGGTGAAAAAAATCCTCCCCGAGGTCAACATGTCGCAGCAGCAGCAGCAGCAGCATGCCAGCTTGGTAGCCGCCTTCGTGATCGACACGAGCGCGTCCATGTCCCAGAAGACGTCTGACGGCCGGTCCCTACTCGACCACGCCAAGGACATGGTGGAACAGCTCACGGTCAAGAGCAGGCACACGCCCGCGCACCACGTGCTCCTGACGAACTGCCTCCTCCTCACAACTGAGGAGTGTCCTGCGAACATCAAGACGTCGTGGGCGGACTGGGGCGACAAGCCGGAGAAGAGGCTGGCGAGGTATGTCGGCGGGGCGGCGGCAGTTGAACGGTTGTCTCTCTCGCAGGCGTAGAGTTGAGCCATCATGACAGTGAAGACGTTTATGGTAAACGCTTTTTGCCTCAACATTGTCCCATCTGCTGTTAGGGTTGCCGATCCTAGCCGGATCCACTAGCGAGAGAAGAAAGCCTCCTACAGGAGCAGTACGCAAGAGGACCAGATACTTGGTCCAATCGTCGTTCAAACTTGGTTCTTCAACACACACGCCATCGGGAGTGTACAACCTTTCTCGGCGTTTTACGCGGGGGGTGGATGGGCGCGTGTTTCTTAGGTTTCACGAGCAGCTGAGGAACCTGGAGCCTAGGGGACAGAACGCGGTTGCCCCTTCACTGGGCAAGGCTTTCGAGCTCTTGGGGCAACATCGCCTAAGCTCGGGAGTGGACACTTGGTGAGACGCTACTGTAGCGAGTGGACTTGGGAGGGGTCGGTGCAGTGGATATTCCACGACGCCATGCGTGTTCACCAGCAAGTTTTAACACTGCAATACCGTGGTACACATCACGGTTTGGAATAGATGCGGAAAACTTGGAGTGTTGCAGAGCATGTCTCTGCTGCTGCTGTATTGAGGAGGGTGCTGCTGTATTGAGGTGGGTGCACAGCTATGACGAGGTGGAGAAGGCCGGGGCGGGGGGGGGGGGAGTTGCTCCCGGACAGTGTTTATGTAACGGAGGACAAAGGCAAGAGAAGCCGAACCATCCAATCCAATGCTGTGTCGATCTCGACCTGCACCAGTCCAAGTGGAAGCGATGACGTCATGCTTTGCCTGCACCGCCGTGACCTTCCCGATATATACTTCACATCCAACGCAAGAGGCAGGGCAAAGGCAACACGTAAACTTGTCCCTTTTTCCGTGTGATCTTTCTCCATTTCCGTTCTTCATTACGCATCAAGCATTGTTCACATCAGTCCTTTTCCTCAGACAGGTAGTATGGGATCGAACAGCGGTGGCATCACCTGCCACGGTCGGTGTGGCCACTTCCAATTCTCCCTTTCTCCGTGTTCTGCAACTGTGTCGGATGACAACTCTCGACAGGCCTACGATAATCCTTGTAAAAACATTTTAACCCCTTCTCTCTCTCTTCCCCCCGCCAAAATCCCGCCGCCCAACCCTGATACCCAAAGGGGCAAAGGCCGCAGCCCGTGGCGCACCGAGGCGGGTGCAGTGATCCTCATCACCGATGGCAACAACGCCACGGCGGGTATGACCGCGGACAACGGCATGGCGATGGGCATGGGCATGGGCATGCCGACAGCTGCTTCGATGCTCAGCATGGAGGCCATCGGGCAGGGGGCAAGCGGGGCGGTGGGCGGCGAGCTTTGTGGGAAGCCGTACCGATGGGACCAGCGGCTGTTTACGGTCATCCTGGGGGGAGCGGGAGGGGGCGGCGAAGGGGGCACGGGGATGGGAGTTGGTCGGGCGGATGGGGGGGGTGTGCCGGCGGAGACGGTCATGGCGTTGAGGGTGAGTGAAGTTGTCCAAAGACGAGGGTACGATTGTACTATATTTCCAAGTTTTTTCTGTTCTGTGTCGAGAAGCGACGCCTTGGGCCCAGGCTCTCTCGTGAGTCGAAGGACTGGCTTTGAAAGACTTGCGGCTGCACCTTGTCGTCTGTCCCGATTTCAATAGCGCCATCGTGCACGACTTTTGGATCGCAGGCTCTTTTGTGTGTCGCTCTGTGCAAAAGTCTAGCTGCTCGTCTTTCTGTCTTGTCTGGCGTCCGTTTGACTGCAGGGCTCGAGGCGTCATACGAGCACACCAATACACCACCAGCAAGTCTATCAATCGCTTTTGTCGCTTTTCTAGCGAGGTGCCATCGCCGAATGACCCAACGATGTCATGACCACTATCTGCCGTCTAGTTAAGCGGTGATTACAAGCACGACAAGCATCAGTACAGCGGGGGGGGCGTCAGCCGTGCCGGTGACGTATTGCCCGGTGCCCCCTATATTAACAGTAAAATACCCGTGAAACCGCGCGACGCACATGGGATAATTATTGTGTGTGTATCTGAGTGGTGCCAATGGCGCCCACTGAGTAGGGTGCCGGTGAAATTGAGTGGCACATGGCAGCACTCCTAAGGGCCGGCCGGCCCCGTTTTGCACTTCCATCGGCATATTGCATACCTGGTATTTATGATCGACGGGTACACCCATTCACACCGTCAAGCTAGCCCTTGCTCACTGCCGTTGTTCTACCCTGTACCCCTGCCTATGTCGCCCCCAGAACAAACATTCCAAAACACAATCTCGGGGACACTTGCGGACCCGGGTCTATTATAACAACACCCATCATCTAAGCTCACGAACACGCCTCCCTGCTGCCCGCATCACTTATCGCATACTTATCACCTATCACTGATCAGGCATCACGTATCACGTGCTTCGAAGTAGCACGTATCGCGTATCACATACCACGTGGTATCACTTATAAGGCACGTATCACGTATGCGGCGCCACATATCACGTATTACGTACCATGTCACCTGTCACGTACCATTCTTTATCACTTACCACGTACCATTCCTTATCACGTATTACGTGTCAGAGCGTGTGCGAAGAGACTGGCGGGTGCCTAGCGACCTGGGACGCGGAGGATGGTCCAAAGCACAAGACCCTGGCTAGTCACGTCAACGATCTGCTCGGAAACGTGCACAAGAAGGTAAAAGGTTACCTGGGCGAGGGGTGGAGGCGTCGTGGTGTGCATGAAAGGAGGGGGGGGGGGGGGGGGAGGTCCTCCGTTGGCACAG